ATACGTCATGTTTAACTGCTGCCCTTTCGTCACTGCACTGCTGGGCACTCGAGTACATCTGGATAGAAGGCCCTGTCATTGCAGCAAAAAAATTTTATCCACGAGGTTTCTGCTGAAGTGTCCCTACTGCGCTCAGGGGTAAAAGCCCGCAGGGTAAATGAGTGGAGCGAATGCAGCCAGGCGAATGAGTGTGCTGACATCCAAAATCTACAGAAAGTACAGAAACTACAGTCTTGGAAAGACAAAGTGTGTGTGGAATAATCTGCCTCATCATTTGTAATCACAAAAGTCGAAGAAGTCCACGGAAAAGCTGAGAAAGGTGAAAAATTAACATTCTGCAGTTTTTCTTTTGCCTCACTCACACCCACACAAAAGCAATCAAATAAAACAGCCTCTCTCTCTCAGTTTCTCACCCGGTTTCTATTTATTTATTCTATTTATTTATTTATTTTTGTCAGGCTAATTTGACAGTATCATTAAGGCTTAAGGTCGTGCTCTAAAGTAAAAAGCACCATGTCCAAACAGTGAATTTAAATATGAAAACAATAGTATATTTAAAATGTAATAATAAACAAGACTAATGAGCTATTTATTACATGTTAATGCTCTCTAATTTTAATAACTAATGTAAAAAAACAAGTATAAAAAGTAAAATAAAGATGCAGTATAATGTCTGGTATAAAACTTTATTGCTATTTATCAACTAACAATAAATAAACAATAAGAAATGGAATTTATAGAATTACAGTACATTTAAATAAAAAATAAGCATAAAATAGACCAAATATATGAATAAACAATCAGAGCTACAGTAAACAAGTACAACTGAACAGACCGTTTTTAACATCACTACAAATAATGTTTGAATGCAAATAATAAAGATTATCATAGAATAAGATTGAATTATTACTGATTTATTTTATAGACTTCGCAGGTAAGAAGTGCACTGCAATGCATGAAATGAATTTGAGTTTGCAGAGGCAGAAGAAAACAGATACTCACTGTCTTCTGTACGCTGTATTTGAGTTCCCTTTACCTGACGGAGACTCGGAGGAGCATCTGCCATCCTGAGTGTGGCTCTATGAGTGTGTGTGTTTGTTATTAGTAAATATAGTTATATACTCTTGATAGAATTGGTTTCATACCTCCTCCATCCTTATCACGTGCTCTTTCTTGCTTCCTCTCTCTCTTTTACTGTATGAAAAAGGAGAGCAGGCAATACTGCAAGCATCTAAGATCACTTACCCTGGGAATGTGTGTGTGAACATATTTTGTATGTTTATGTGAGTAAGAGTATTTCCTTTAAGTGACCCTTCTGCCTCTACTTCTAAGCTAAACTGATTTAACTTTCCTCTTAAAGGGTTAGTTCACCCAAAAATGAAAATTCTGTCATTAATTACTCACCCTTGTGTTGTTCCAAACATGTAAGACCTTCGTTCATCTTCAGAACACAATTTAAGATATTTGTGATGAAATCTGAGGGCTCTCTGACCCTCCCATAGACAGCAAGGTAACTACCACGTTCAAGGCCCAGAAAAGTATCAAGATGATTGACAAAGTAGTCCGTGTGGACTACTTTGGACGCGCGTTCACGACAGTACCATGACGTGAGCGTGTGGGGCGCCGGCGTGATAATGTCATTACTCCGGATCTGGGAGTACGTGACGCAGTAGAGACGAAAATGTGGAATAAAGTTGTTATTTTTGTTTTCTTTGGGCAAAAAAGTATTCTCGTAGCTTCGTAACTTTACAGTTGAACCACTGATGTCACACGGACTACTTTGTCAATCATCTTGGTACTTTTCTGGACCTTGAACGTGGTAGTTACCTTGCTGTCTATGGGAGGGTCAGAGAGCCCTCATATTTCATCAAAAATATCTGAAATTGTGTTCCGAAGATGAACGAAGGTCTTACGGTTTTCGAACAACATGCGGGTGAGTAATTAATGACAGGTGACAGGTTTTTGGGTGAACTAACCCTTTAAAAGACCTCCTCCTGGGGTCTTTTGTGTGATGTGTGTAGCCTATGGTCTCTCTTCTTTGGTCTTTTAAGTTTTGATGAGGTGAAGCTATTTGAATGAGTTATAAGAATGTCTTTAAACAATGTCTTCCAAAAACTTAAGAGTCATTCCTGTTATGCAGTACCTTTTGAACTTTCTAAGAGAGATTAACGCTGAGTTTGGAACTGCATACTAAGAGTTCAGCATAAGCGTTATTTGCAAAACGTTGATATTACCATACCAGTTTCTGTTTTATCTAAAATGATGGAATGCTTCACAGTGACACACCAATTAATACAACAAAGCATCAAATAATACATCAAATCCATTGCTAATGCCTCTGCAACTGCTTCCCCACCAGAATTATGTAACTTCCTGCCACTTCCTGTCATGAAGGAAGAAGCTTTTGTTTGTTAAAGGGACATTACAAACGATTTGAAAGTGATATTGAGGACACAGGAAACCCGATTAAATTAGTTAACTCAATTAAAACAATGCTCCCAAGGAAACATGTTTTGTTTGACACATTTTCACTAGAGAAAGGGAAAACATGAAGAAAGAAAATGTTCAAAATTCACCAGTATGTTCACCTAATTGTGATATTGTAAAGACTTGATATCCAATGTTTTAAGTCACACAGCCTATAGACATGAAAATGTAATAAATAACAGGAATTAACCTACACTTTTTTTTTTTTTTTTTTTTTACATGTGCTGCTATTAAAATTCATAACTATCCTCAGTCTTTAAGAAATTTACATTTTCTGTGTGGTCTTGTTGATATGTGAGAGCGGATTTGGCTCTGACAGACAGAAGGAACATTGTGCTCCTGTAATTACACAAATTAGCCACTAGATGGCAGCATAAAATGGCAGCATTCACACCCTACAAATGCCTCGCATTCACAGGCCATTTCACACTTTTTTAACGGTTGAAAATAATTCGGTGTCAAGTAGGCTATTTTTCTTGCTCCAATTCCTCAGAATCATAAACTGATGTGCTGGAGGATTTTGCATAGGCCTCATGGCAGTAGACAACTCTCATTTTCAAGCGTAAAATAAGCAATCTGTCCATAATTACATCCTAAATTCACAAATTCCCATAATCTAATAGACCTTAGTCAGGGTGCGCGCCATATTTAATTTCACACAATTACTACACAACGTGGCTATGAAGGACAGACATAACTGTTACAGTCTGTACAATAGGTTGTACTGTCTTAAGTCACATCTAATTTTCGATTTCTGTGGAAAGCCATATTTTCAGTACAACAGTAAACCATTGATCAGACTGTCTAGCAATCACAGTAGTTTATATTCACATAAGATTAAATATAGCATGTTCCATAAGATTTATTTATTTTATATATATGAGAAAAAGAAATGCAATGGTAAAAGTAAAAAAAAGGAATATAAAAAGGTGATATTGAAGCTGTTTTCAGGTTCATATAGTCAGAGAGAGAGAGAGAGAGAGAGAGAGAGCAAGACAGATAGACAGAGACTTACTTTAAGGCATAAGGGGCAGGACCACCTAACACCAAATGCCCAGCCCCCTCACCCTCTAAAGACACACTAAAGCACATTTACTCTCTCTCACTCTGGTTCTCAGTGCCTCAGTCCAGACTGCTGCTTCAGACCTCACCGCCCATTTCCATTCAAACCAACTTTAAGCCAGCATTTCTTCCACAGTCTGCTGTGCACTTTCAGGAGCCTCTTAATTTGTTCAAGTTTCAGCTGGAGAAAAGTGACCAACAGTGACCATGATGAGGATCATACTTCTGCTGCTGCTGGTCACCCTGACGGGGCCTTTCTGCACCTTTACCCAAGCAAGTAAGTGAACACACATACAGGGTGCTCTACTTTCTTTCAAACACTCTGGCCATTCTGTCCATCTGTTTCTGACCATATCCTTCATTCAATTCAGGTCATTTTTGTTTGATTACATGTTCACTAAATTATGTTTTTTTTTCTCTTCTGAGGTGTGTTTTGGCTTTAAATTTGAGTATATAAAGGAAAAAGGTGTGTTATAATGTTTAATTTTTTACATGATTTATTTTTTTATTTCTTTACTTAGATCATTAATTTATTGTAGTATTTTAGTGATCAGCTACAATATATATACACTGTTTTCAGTGCAAGTAAATGAACGTGAAATTTTGAAGTAGAAATACTTTTTTATTTACCTTGAAAAATCATTTTTACAGAAAATAAAAAACCTATATATGATGTTTCAGTGCCTTCTGTTGATGATAAACATTTAATTCGGTGTCAAGTAGGCTATTTTTCTTGCTCCAATTCCTCAGAATCATAAACTGATGTGCTGGAGGATTTTGCATAGGCCTCATGGCAGTAGACAACTCTCATTTTCAAGCGTAAAATAAGCAATCTGTCCATAATTACATCCTAAATTCACAAATTCCCATAATCTAATAGACCTTAGTCAGGGTGCGCGCCATATTTAATTTCACACAATTACTACACAACGTGGCTATGAAGGACAGACATAACTGTTACAGTCTGTACAATAGGTTGTACTGTCTTAAGTCACATCTAATTTTCGATTTCTGTGGAAAGCCATATTTTCAGTACAACAGTAAACCATTGATCAGACTGTCTAGCAATCACAGTAGTTTATATTCACATAAGATTAAATATAGCATGTTCCATAAGATTTATTTATTTTATATATATGAGAAAAAGAAATGCAATGGTAAAAGTAAAAAAAAGGAATATAAAAAGGTGATATTGAAGCTGTTTTCAGGTTTATATAGTCAGAGAGAGAGAGAGAGAGAGAGAGAGAGCAAGACAGATAGACAGAGACTTACTTTAAGGCATAAGGGGCAGGACCACCTAACACCAAATGCCCAGCCCCCTCACCCTCTAAAGACACACTAAAGCACATTTACTCTCTCTCACTCTGGTTCTCAGTGCCTCAGTCCAGACTGCTGCTTCAGACCTCACCGCCCATTTCCATTCAAACCAACTTTAAGCCAGCATTTCTTCCACAGTCTGCTGTGCACTTTCAGGAGCCTCTTAATTTGTTCAAGTTTCAGCTGGAGAAAAGTGACCAACAGTGACCATGATGAGGATCATACTTCTGCTGCTGCTGGTCACCCTGACGGGGCCTTTCTGCACCTTTACCCAAGCAAGTAAGTGAACACACATACAGGGTGCTCTACTTTCTTTCAAACACTCTGGCCATTCTGTCCATCTGTTTCTGACCATATCCTTCATTCAATTCAGGTCATTTTTGTTTGATTACATGTTCACTAAATTATGTTTTTTTTTCTCTTCTGAGGTGTGTTTTGGCTTTAAATTTGAGTATATAAAGGAAAAAGGTGTGTTATAATGTTAAATTTTTTACATGATTTATTTTTTTATTTCTTTACTTAGATCATTAATTTATTGTAGTATTTTAGTGATCAGCTACAATATATATATACACTGTTTTCAGTGCAAGTAAATGAACGTGAAATTTTGAAGTAGAAATACTTTTTTATTTACCTTGAAAAATCATTTTTACAGAAAATAAAAAACCTATATATGATGTTTCAGTGCCTTCTGTTGATGATAAACATTATCCACATATCTAGGCATGTGCTGATACGGTGTTTCTATCATGTGGACCTAGTGCTGGGAAAATGATGTAATGGTGCAATGATTGTTATACCCCTTTTGAGTTAGTCAGCACTGATCTATTTCTCTGTTTCTCCCCGTTTCTCTCACTCTGGGCAGGGTTACACATGTATTAATAGAGCCAACTCTATATTTAAGGGAAGCATTTGAACATTTAGTACACAGGCTGGTTACATCTGAGGGCAGAGCAGGCCTGAGAGAGAGAGACGCCCGGTATGCACTTATTTTGTAGGTCTTCCTCTCCCTCTCCTCACCCCCCCTTCGCTTGTAACCATCTTTGGCGGGGTATCGAGCTTTCACCCCTCTCAGAGGTGGGTTGGAGGGGCATGTGCGTTATTTTTAAACTGCAGCGCCTCTGACTCACTGCTCAGGGTCGGTTACAGCCCTCTAAACATCCCATTAAATGCTCAGCAAGTTTCAAAATTTGGAAAACTTCACTTCAATCAGAGGAGAGCATCAACGCACACTCTTCCTGTCCAGACTTCCTTCTGTCTCTCTCATTCTTTCTCCTGCTGCCATTTGTCTCCCTTTCTTCCCGTTCTCCCAGTCGGTGCCACTCCCTGTTCTAAAAGCGGGCTTCATCAGGCAGTTAAACGTTTCTACTCTGTACTCTTTTTTTCTTTAGTATGCAGCATTGTTTATACAATTGTTTTGGAGAAATAGATTAATGTTTGTGTTGTTCTGTGAATGTTTTACCTTTTCAGATTTCTAAGTCAGCCTGTTATGTGTTGTGCGTGTTATGAATAGAGTAATGGTAAACTGACACGTGAGAGTACATCGAGGTATTGGGTGTACTGACTGTTAATTTAGCTACATGAACCCTGAAACTCTCTCAGGGTCTCTGACTGCTACCACAAACTCAGCCCAACTTATTTACAGAGCTCAAACAACTTCATATTCAACTTAAGAGTGCAAACAGATTTTTTGATAAATCTTAATTAATTTGTTCTGCTTAATCTTTAGCTCAAAATTAAATGAAATCCAGTCTTCATTCTGAACCGAATCAACTCCTTAAAGTGCTGTCTGATAGAGATTAATCTGAACTGACTTTATTGTGCTGTATTTGAATTAATTCCATACAACACAATGTAAATTATCTTCATAGTCTAAATTCACTCTTTAACAATATTGTTATTGATAACTTAAAATCATCCTTGTTAAGCGATTTCTGAGAAATGCTGTTGATATTTGCAACACACCCCTACCCGAAATAATCACACCCCTATTTTGATTTCTCTGCCTCCAAATTTATGCAACACAGACACCTCCCCCATCACCACTGGACACGCCCCTTACTGGTGATTGGCTACAAGTGTGATTTGGTGCTCGGTCCGATCCACTTTCAATCCACCTTATTTTTCAACACGGAACTAAGCCGTTTTCTGTGAACGTGTGAGAATTCCAGTTCATTAGCTGCTGTAGGGAAATAACGAGAAGAATAAAAAAGTGCAGTAAATGGTAAAACTCTTTGCACTACAAACCAGTTTGTTCATAATTAAGATAATACATTAAAATAATATGGTAAGATACACCAGTTTACCATATCAAGCAGCTTTTTTGTACAGCTACAAGCTGGAAGCGGATGACACTGAAAGCCAGACATTGAAGCACTAAAATTACTAAAACTTAAAAATAAAAACTAATAAAAATTAAAAAGCACATAATTAAATTGCAGCTTTAACTCAAATTAAAACTGAAAATATAAAAGCAAAAGTTAATTTAAAAGCTAATTCGGATCCTCAATCCAAATAAACTCATAAAAGTTCTGTCTGAGGGATTTAAATCTGAATTTTATTGTGCTGAATTATACCTCTGCACAATTTAAAGTAAGTAAACGGCATAATCTGAAACATAGATCTGTCTAACAGACTAGAATCCAAATGAACATGAACTCCTCTGTTAGAATGATTCCCTCATTTCTGAATTTGAACTGAACTCTTCAGAACTCTCAATCAAGAGCTTAGTGTTAAATATAAGTGAACTTCACAAATGTTCTTGAGAGATTTGTGGGGAACTGTAGAGATCAATTATCGATACAGATATCGATACAGTTTTGTCTCCCTCAGGTCTGGACTCCTATGTGTTGTACAGTATTTAGATTAGGATGTGCGTTAGTCTGAGATATGTTGTTCCCTGGAGATTGTGAGCGTGAGAGCCTAAGTATGTTTATGTGTGCTGTTCTAGTGATAAGACAGCAAGTTTTCACTTGCTATGTCCTCTACTGCCCACTTATGACATGCCATGTGATGTGTGTGTATGTGTGAAGGAGGGCATTTGTCTTTGAGATGTTCTTCACTTGTTCTTCCTGAACTAAAACATTCCAGCATCATAGGCTACTCCCTCACAAGACACACACACACACACACACACACACACACACACGCTGAAGCAGTAGATTGAGATTAATCTGATAGACTGAGTGTAATTAGTTAAGGTAAAGGAGGATCGATCTTTCCTGTCTGTAACCCGGCAAAACAATTCTGCCTCCCGGTTTAACAGACACCCTACACTGGCCTCTTGTGCTCTATTTCCCTTGTTCTGTGCTCTTTTCCTCTATATTTGTCTCTCCTTTTTCTCGTCTTTCCCTTTTATGGTTTCAGTTTTGTCAGGAAACTGTTTCAGGCTTGGTCATAGATTTGAATTTGATCATCGAATGGGTGGATTTTCACTGACACACACATACCTGCTCTATTTTAGTGGGTTTTGACTCATTGCAGTCTGTACTAGCCCAATGGTTTCTCAATCAAGGCATTAAGTGGTCACAATATCACATATTTATCACTGCCAATCCACCCTACACAGGACAAGCGGTTTGGAGAATGCATGGACGGACTGTCACCAAAGTCCATGTTGTATCCACCTTATTTTTCAATGCAGTAGTAAGGTATTTCCTGTGAATGTGCGAGACTTCCGATTAATTAGCCACAATAGGTAAATAACCACAGTTGTATCCACCTTATTTTTCAATGCAAAAGAAGATATTTCCTGTGAATGTGTGAGACTTCCAATTCATTAGCCACAATAGGTAAACAATTACAGGAATAACAAAGTGCAGTAAACAGTAAAACTATTTGCGCTAGTGTGTTTATGATTGCGATAATACATTTAAATAATATGACAACAAATTCCAGTTTGGCAATATCAAGCAGCATAAAATAACCTGAAGCAGCCCACACCAGAAGCCTTGCACGCTTAAGGTGAAATGTCTACGCTTTCTCTTCTTACATTAAAAATAATGTGGATATCAATCCATTTGGCCGGGTAGCTGAACTGGTCACTACTGTCACGTCTCTTGTATCACACCACAGACTTGCTTTCGCTTTCATACAACACAATTGGCGCCATCTTGTGTATCTCTTGTCAAATATCATGAAAATTAATATTACAATGATATTGATGTAGTGTTTGTCAATTAACATAATGAGTGCCCATTATAAGCCACTCTTCCCCAATAATGAGGGACTGACTGTACATTATGCTTTGCATAACTTACAGTTACAATCGCTGGCCATGCTGCTGTGTACAACTCGAAGAAAGAGAATAGCTGGAGAGAATAGCTGGCTCTTTCTCCATACTCGGCTCCTCCCATCACATCATGTATATTTATGTAAGTGTGTGGTAGTGGTTGGAGGGGAAGAGAGCCATACTTAGAACTAATTGTTGGGGTCTCAAACATAATGAGCTGATTGTTAGCAGCAGTCAACAAGAACACTAATATAAACACACAAACTGACACTTACATACATACACACAGGACATTGTGATCTCTGACATTACATATGTTTCTTAACAGGACTGTTTTGTTTGATTGTGGCACTATGGAAAGTAACAGTGACAGATTTTTCTGTCTTTCTTTTTTTTTTTTGATGCCCACTTATAATTAAATAATTTTCTCCTCTCACGTAAAAGTTCTTAACTTGTTTTAATGTTTTATTTTGGGATTCCAGTTAATTAGGTTATATAAATATGGGTTTAAAATAACAAACTGTGTGGAAACCTGTTATTAAAGGGATAGTTCATCCAAAAATGAACATTCTGTCATTTACTCACCTCATGTCATTCTAAACTTGTATAACTCTGTTCTGTGGATTACATAAGGACAAATTTCACTGGTTGTTCTTTCGATGCAGATACAATGAAGGAGAAACTTCAAAAAGAACTCAAAAGTACCATAAACTTATCATGAAAGTACACTAAAATATTTGGTGTAGAAGCAATTTTTACTCAGAAATTCCTAGTGCTGTAATTTTCACAAACAATTAGAAAGAAACAGCAAGTATGGCTATTTGTGTGATATTGCTAACATATATATTAAATATATTCAAATTTGTCACATTTTTTCATTATAAGAAAAGGCCAGGATATTCTTCAGAAATTTCCTTTTAGGGTTCTACAGAAGAAAGACAGTCATTTGGGAAACTGCTCACCCTCATGAGTACATCATGACATATTTTCATTTGGGTGAAGAACTCTTTTAATTCCAAACTGCTGAGAGTGTCTGGGTCACATAATCATTAGTAAAATACAAAATTTGCATCATAAAACTATTACTAAAGCACTGAAACAGTAATTTGCTATTTACCCAGATCTGATGTGCAATGCATGCTGAGTTTGATATTTTAAAGTGTGTAGTTCAGCAGCTGAGGTGGTATTATTGTAAAGGGAGTTTCCCCTCAGATCGCCAAGAGAAAGTTTCTCATGTGGAGTCCATCTGGCTTAGACACAAGCACAGATCTTAGAACAGTTTTTGCAGTGTCTCTAATGGTTGCTGAGGTCATTGTGAGTGATGCAGAAATATCTAAGATCAGCCCCTGAGGAAACATGCCATTTTTGCCATGTTGTTTTTCCTCCAATGCTTCATTTCCTTCTGTGCAGTTATTGCCGGCTCCACCCAGGAAGTGAGACAATTAGTCTGGCTGAAGGTATGACGTAGAAAGGAAGTGATCTCATTAGTGTGGAGCTGAATAGTCAGGGCATGACTTCTCCCTATTGGAGGAGTGGCAGAATGTTTTTGTACGTAAGTGAATGTGTAAGTGTGTGTTTACTGGGCTGATGGAGAAGGCCGGAATGTTCTTAACGGCAGGCCATGAGAAAATTCTGGCTTACCCATCCAATACAACCACTGGAGAACCAAAACACACAGTAAACAGCATCAGTGGAATTTCTCCATTTTCATCCAACTCTCTCCTCTTATGTTGAAATTAACATCTAAGGGTTTCTAGTAGAAGATTTTATGATCCTTTTTGTTGTTCTTGTTCCAGGTACTCTGGTGGTGCCAACAGCTATTGATTCAACTCCAGAACCAAATCTTGCATCAGATCCGCCTGCTTTCACAGACAAAACAGAGGAACCAGCTCCTCAAGATGCTGTTTCAACGTCAGAGCCTGCTCCTGAGGCTACAGAAGCAGCTGCCTCGACAGAAGAAGTGCCAGTGGTTTCCACAGCAGCACCAGTGATACAGTCAGAAGCCCCATTAGAAACAACAGCCCCAACAGATACAGCACAATCAACAGAAGCTGGACCTAAAGAGACGGTTGGCCCTGAAGCCACTACTGTCATTGCAGGGGCAAGAGCAGAAGAAACTGAAAAAGCTGATGACACAGAATCAGAGACTGAAGATGTAGAGGTGGAGGATGAAGGTTAGATATACAGTATACTCACAGACATACAATGTAAATATTGTTAGAGTAAAGGCCTGTTCACACCAAGAACGATAACTTCATTCATTCATCACCTAGAATTTTTTTTTTACATTTGATTGCAAATATATAGTTTTTCTGTGTCGTTATCTGTATAGTTGAGGTGTGGACTCTGCTATTATTTTACATTTAGAATGACCTGTATCAATAATGGTGTGAACGTGAATTCAGAATGTGTGTGAGTGAGGATGAGCAGTCATTGAGCCTGTTCACACCAAGAACGATAACTTCATTCATTCATCACCTAGATTTTTTTTTTTACATTTGATTGCAAATATATAGTTTTTCTGTGTCGTTATCTGTATAGTTGAGGTGTGGACTCTGCTATTATTTTACATTTAGAATGACCTGTATCAATAATGGTGTGAACGTGAATTCAGAATGTGTGTGAGTGAGGATGAGCAGTCATTGGCATGATACCTGGTGATTTTCCTCATTCCAGGTATGGGCACAGGACAGTTGGTGGGGATCGTAATCGCTGCATTGATCGCAGTGATTATTGTCATTGCTGTAATCATCTTGGTGGTTAGAAGAATGGGCCAATACTCGTAAGTACAAGAAATTAGATAACATTTTTAAGGTAAAAGTATTTTTGTACAATTATTCATTCATAAATATCATTAAGAGTTAGTTCACCCAAAAAAAAAAAAATTCATTATTTTCCCACATTCAATTCAAAACCTATACGATTCTCTTTGCATTTTGAAAAATGTGTTTTTTGCCCATACAACGAAGGTCAATGGAGTCAAATATGATACATGATAATACATGATAATAATGTTTAACAGATGTTGCTGGCTGCTTTAGGAATGTGTTCTCTATATATGATTGAGGTGAAATTTTGCATGCTAACAGTAAATGGTTTCTATGTTGTAGGACTGCAAAGAAACGAAAGCCTCAAAAACAAGAGCGCATCTTGATCTCTGTAACTGTCTTACTGTTTCATTGATATTCATCCATATTAATTAGTGTAACCCAGTTGCTCATAAAATGTTAAACATGTTAGAGCTTGACAAAACTATGTTGCTACTCCAAGCAGTCCTCTACCAGTGTCCAACCAAATGGCAAATATTGGAGAAAAACACCACTGAACCATTCAAGGATCAGAATGCTGAACAGGGAAGTGATGTCATAATGGACACGTTTGTACATTGTACAAATGTACTGTTTTAAAATGGTGTAGCAACACAGTGGTGTTCATGCTATATTATTTGTGGTACTAACATGGTGTGACACCCCCCCCCCCCCCCAAAATAATATATAATAATAAAATAAAATAACCAATTGAATTCATATGATCTAAAAAAAACTTTCTAGATTTTGTAAGTATGTTTGGATCATTACTGAGTCAAACTTATGAATGAAACTCATAAATGCAATTGAAATACCCTATTAATATATATTGTCATGTAATCTTTGTCTATGTTACATGGATAAAAACAAGTTTGTGTCTGACTGTGGTGTATTTGTGCTAAACTGCTTTTCCTCTTTCCTTCTTTCCCAGCCCTTGAAAAGAAAGGCACGACAGGAAGAGAAGAAGAAGAAATCCGGGAAGTTCTGAACTATTGTTCTGATGTTAAAAACAATGCAAGCAGCACTCTCACCATCCATCCAGGACTATACAGGGAGCAGGAGAGTGTCCCATCCCCTTTCCCATTGTAAAAGATGCCCTCCCACAAAAACACCTTCTCAATGCCCACAAGTCCCATTATTTAGCCTGAAAAGCCTTATTTATCCCAACAGTGGGAGGCCACAGGAAGTTACAGTATCTTTTTTTAATGCATATTAATGTAACAGGAGATTCATGAATGTTGAATTTGTACAACAAACAAACGAACAGTTGCCCATGCAAGCAAAAGCTTGTATGTTTTTATTCCACTGTGTGAAAATTTCATGCAGAAAAAAAATGAATCCAAAATCATTATTCTTTTCCCCATTCTACAGATGTGTCCAATAGGACTATGACGCAATAAGAACAGTCTATGAACTGTCATAAGCAGATGCTGAGGACACATTCTGTTCTCAAGATGTGTAAGCGGCATTAACTAATAAATGTTTTTTAAATGATTAGTTAAGGGGAGCAGCACACAATAAGTGCTTGAGATTTACTCGTTTGAAGTGCATTAATACGGAGTAACTTGACGGTGTTGTTCTTAACTGTCACCCATTCCAAAAGTGACATCACTTCCTCTGGAACGCATCATTTATTGTGTGTTCCAGTCCGCTTAGCTCCAGCGCACAGCTGCTATTGGCATGTATCTCTAAAATCCTGATGTTCCTCAGCCTGGACTACATCATTTTAACAGCAAACAGACATTTTGCATGCTATAGTTGAGTTGTTTGCATTTCTTTTTGTCAGTGATGGGGTTTGTGTTTCTTTCTGACGTTCGAGAGCGTTGCTATCCTGGGCTTTGCTTTAAGAGATCAGTATTAGGTGCACTGAATGATGAAGAATAAATGTTGACAAGACACTGCAGTTGTTTGCAACGATATTTTGTGTTTTTTGCTTGCCAGATTCCTCTTTATTTCCCGTTACTCCATAATCTCATTTTGCAATTTGATGTAATATCAGAATCCAGTTAAAGCCGAGAGTTTGTCTTTGTGTTTTGGGGGTGGTGTTTTTTCTTTTTTTCTTATTGTTCAATCAGTTTCAATAAAAAAGTTCCAAAGTGTGTTGCGCTGCCATATTGTGTTGTTGTGGATCCCAGATAACATTGTCTGTTTATCTGTGTTTACTTTTTAGCCCCTTTTACTCAGCATTCCAGCTTTTCACACACATTTACGCCCATGCACTGTCTCTTTCTCACACAAACACACACCCACACATTCCCTTTCTCTGTCTCTCTAATCCCTTAGTTTATAAAGACTGTAAAAGACAAGGGAGAGAGAGGAAGAGATATGCAGAGTCAATGGATATAGGCATCTTTGTAAATATGACTATGTACTTAAGTGACCTCTCTGGTTAAGTAGAGTAAATAACATGAGAGTCCCAAACAGCTGCCCCCAAAACGTATTTGGACATTGACTTTCATTTGGAAGTGGACCATAACAGTTTTTTTCCATTCATTTTTCAAGTATCTGTACTTTATCAGATTATTTTTTATTTTTGGCCTTCTCATTACTTTTCCATTTTAGTTTCCGAAGATTTCTAACATTTTACTTCACTAATAATGCACACGTGTTTTATTAAAGCCAGCATGAAATGAAAACTCACCATATCTATTTTGTAAACTGACTTTTTTCTATAGATCTTTTCCATATCAATATATTTAATTGTATTTTTGACCTTGTAATGTTTAATTAAAATGGAAAATCTTCCTGGGAAAATTGCCAACTGGAACATTTTAATATTTAATATGCACTACACCTATGTTGTAGTTTGCTTATTTTGGTCTTGAGATAGCCCAGCTACTCTCTCTCTCTTTAGCTATGGACAATGGACGCTTTTAGTGGGAGACCCACTCTGATGTCCTGCTCACAGTCTGAGCTCTATATCAGTTTGTTTGTGATCCAATGATTTCTACATTCCTAATGAGAAGGGCACTTCCTGACCAGTAAGCCTTCATGTACACTCACATGAACACACAGGAAAGGCCTAGAAGCGCCACAACACACAAAACAATGTCTGGATATGCACACACGCCGAAATACAAATATACACACAATTTTGCAAAGTGTAAAAATAAAATCTCAATGACATAACAGGACTGTAAAATAAATGCCTGCAGAAAATAATGAAAACAGACCGTCTGAAAATCCTACAAAGTCTTGCTAACACAAACACACATAAACATGTATGCTAAACTTAAAAATGACCTAAAGTGAACCACATTGATGAAAATTACAGGCCTCTCTCATCTTTTTAAGTGGGAGAACTTGCACAATTGGTGGCTGACTAAATACTTTTTTGCCCCACTGTATGTGTATCACAGAAGAATGTGAGTGTGCTTAAGGGAGGACAGCTAATACAGCAACCTCGTGTTTACTTCAGAGCCTGGATACACACATATATGCAGAGTCTCCCAGTGTTTCTGGTCACTCCCCAGGTCTTGAGAAACACTCACTCTCAGTACCGTCCACTCACTGTGATATATTTGTAGGGAGTACAGTACCAGTGAGAGACTGGACTAATCTGATATACTGAAGGTTAAACACTCAGCTCTACAGTTATTCCCTTATCATGTACAGTTGGTTTTTAAACATTCTCTTGTCTCATTCATTTCTGTGACTTTGGTAGAAATCATAAATAAATAAATGTTCATTTAAATATTTAATAAGTAATAAGTTTAGCTAATCTATTAACTATCAGATTAAATTTTCTCATATAAAAGGTGTGATGAGTGTAAAATGACTGTAAATTAACATAAAAGTGTTAAATGGAGCATTTATTTTCACCGTCTGGTTCTCAGAAATTTCTCTAGGAAAAAAAAAGGTCTCCATCTTTACAATCTTCACTGATGGTCCAATCTGCTGAACATCTATTTTGCACTTGTCTGTGATTCACACACAAATAAGCTCCAGCTAACCCTAAGGTATGGGAGTCATATCAGAGACTTTTCTCTCTGTCTCTCACATGCACACATGTGTTAATGCACTGTTCTGTGTGTTCTGGTCTGAACAGCCTAGTGAAAGAGTACAGATGAAGTTAGGAAGCAGCCCTGGCATCAGGAACATGTATATGGGTCATTCCGTGTGAACTCAACCAGTTCCAGGCTCAAATTTTTGATTTTGTCAATACTTTTTCTGTAAAAAGACAATCATATATAGTGATGAAAGCCAAAATATTAAATGCAAACTTTAGAAAAAGAATACTTATGGCACTCAGACAGGTATGCTCTATGAAATTGTGTTGATAGAAAATCACGATAGATAGATAAATAGATAGATAGATAGATAGATAGATAGATAGATAGATAGATAGATAGATAGATAGATAGATAGATAGATAGATCACTTTAGCTTCACAAAAGTATCAAATTCACATTCTGCTGTAAAGCAGCTCTAACAAGTCAATCGTGTCATTCTACAGCTCAAGTCAGTTCAGTATTGATTCAGTTCAGTTGCATAACTGTGTAAAATTCATCAGTCATACATACAGTGCATGCATGTACAACATGTGCGAGAGCTATGACAAACTCCTGTTCCCACTGCACTCTGAACAAGCAAAAGACACACGAGAGTAGTGTTTTACATTTTTCACATCTGTGTGTTGTTTGGCATGTATGCGGCTAATTATTTAATGTTTGTGTATAGAGTTACTACACAAAAATACATTTTTTAGAAGAGTTAAAACCGTTTTCAAATCGTTTTGTTTGCTTTTGCAAGATGTGTGGGACATTTTGCATGTTGTGTGTGTGTGTTTTGTGTAGAGTTTTGAGAAATGGAGCCATAGTTTAAAAAAAACTGTGTGTAAGCATTTTGAAAAAACAAATTCTTCTTGAGTTACAGGCATGCAAACCTGAGTCAAAAACACGAGAAATGCTTTATGTCATTTATGAACTATCACCGTTGGCATAATGAAACAAAGATTGCCAAAGTCAAACGATTTAACTAATAGAGCTACTGATCTCCGTGTAAGAATAACATAATGATGCTGCCGTCTTTCTAAAGTCATTTGTAGAATTGTACAGTAAGAAAGTTATTTCCCTTAACCAGGAAATGAACGTTCTTGGAATTGACAAGACAGTTGACCCTGAGAGGTCAGCTAAATATCTACAGCGGATCTAAAATATGAATAGTTAATTATAACTAGTTATGGTTAATTATTCATATTTCCCCATGAGCTGATTCGCTACATATGCCTCTACAAAACAGTGGATTACCCAGTAAATATAAACCTGTGACATTTAATATGTTGCCTTTCATCACTATTTATGTTTGTCTTTCTACAGAAAAAAATATTAATAAAATCAAAAATTTGAGCCAGGGAAGTTTCCGAGATTTGGCTGATTTGACATGGAATGACCCATATGGGTAAATTGAACATAATGTGTGTGTAAATGTAATCATTTAATAAAGGGTTCTACATTCATGTGTTTGTGTGTGTGTGTGTGTGTGTGTGTTAAATGCCATCTAAAAGTACAGTACATCAGAAGCTGATGTCAGGAACCAGACTGACATTTGAATTTATTGGACAGCTGAATACTGGGTGTGTGTGGATGTGTTAGCATGTTTGTGTGTGTGTTGGGTGGGTGTCAGGATGGAGGCTGTTTAGTTCACATCTGGTGTTCTGTGATATGTAAGTCTCTCTCCCTCTTTTGTTAAGCAGTTCTTTGGACGGAACATGCATTGTGTATGTGTGACACTAATGGCAGCTCAGAAGTGCCCATTGGTTAGTGTGTCTGTGTGTGTGTGTGTGTGTGTGTGGCTATGGTCAGTAGTTGGCACAAACATGTTATCTACTGCATAGAGAAATGTCCTGTAAATTGTTCTGCGTTCATGTTTGTATTTTCAGCACATGAATGAAATGGTTAAAAGAAATAATGGGCAATGACATTTTGCTGTTGTTTGAGACAGACCCTTTAGCCATCTATGCACAAAACCCCATGTATCACTACAATGTGTATCCTGTGAGTCTTTGCAAACAAATCAATAAAAAGTTAATTAATCTAATGGAGAAGACTTCATTTATGTAAATTGTATTTATATATACTGTATAAAATACCATGTTATAAGTCATGGCAAGTCATCCTCTTGTTTTTCTGGAGATAATTTACAAAAAATACAGGATTACTAGTTTTGTAAAGAAAAAAAAGAACAGTTGGAAGCAGTTGTTATTTTTGCAATTCCCTTTGGTGCCACAATAATCTTACAATCTCTGTTCAGATATAGGATGCAGTCATTATCTTGTAAATTAATCAGCGCTGTGTATTTCCACACACAAGATTT